ACGAATTACACGTATTGGTAACAATGGAATACAAAGTAACCACGATTTACACGTATTGGTAACAATGGAATACAAAGTAGCCACGAATTACACGTATTTGTAGCAATGGAATACAAAGTAGCCACGAATTACACGTATTGGTAACAATGGAATACAAAGTAGCCACGAATTACACGTGTTGGTAACAATGGAATACAAAGTAACCACGAGTTACACGTATCGGTAACAATGGAATACAAAGTAACTACACATTACACGTATTGGTAACAATGGAATACAAAGTAACCACGAATTACACGTATTCGTAACAATTAAATTCAAAGTAATCACGAATTACAAGTATTGATAACAATGAAATACAAAGTAACCACGAATTACACGTATTGGTAAAAATGAAATACAAAGTAACTACGCATTACACGTATTGGTAAAAATGAAATACAAAGTCACTACGCATTACACGTATTGGTAACAATGGAATACAAAGTAACCACGAATTACACGTATTGGTAACAACGAAATACAAAATAACCACGAATTACACGTATTGGTAACAATGAAATACAAAGTAGCCACGAATTACACGTATTGGTAGCAATGGAATACAAAGTAACCACGAATTATACGTATTCGTAACAATGAAATACAAAGTAACAACAAATTACACGTATTGTTAAAAATGAAAAACAAAGACACCAAGAATTACCTGAATCGGTAACAATGGAATACAAAGTAACCACGAATTACACGTATTGGTAGCAATGGAATACGTATTTGTAACAATGGAATACAAAGTAACTACACATTAAACGTATTGGTAACAATGGAATACAAAGTAACCACGAATTACACGTATTAGTAACAATGGAATACAAAGTTACCACGAAGTACACGTATTGCTAACAATGAAAAACAAAGAAACCAAGAATTACCTGAATTGGTTAAAATGGAATACAAAGTTACAACGAATTACACGTATTGGAATCAATGAAATACAAAGTAACCACGAATTACACATATTGGTTACAATGGAATACAAAGTAACCACGAATTACACGTATTGAGAACAATTAAATACAAAGTAATCACGAATTACACGTATTGGGAACAATAAAGTACAAAGTAACCACGAATTACACGTATTGGTAACAATGAAGTACAAAGTAACCACGAATTACACGAATTGGTGTAACAATGAAATACAAAGTAACAAGTGTTACACGTATTGGTTACAAGGACATACAAAACAATTAAGTTGTACAAATGTATACGAAACTAGTCCACGCATTGGCAACTATTAATAAAAAAACGATGTCTTCAAGTTAGTATATCATTAATTGGAAACCAGAAAAAACCGGTGTGAATTTTATCTTTATTCTGTAATTACCCTATTGAGGACAATTGAAAGGTAATATATGTGCACGAGAATAAAACACGTTGTTTACAAGCAAGGGGAGATAACCGAAGTTTAAATGGAACATCTAAAACTGATTTTCAATCGAACTCATGATAATTTAATATCAAGCATGAGATTTTAAGTGCCAGTATAAAGGAGATGTTAATTATAGCTGGTCTCAATAAGTAATTCAGTTTAAGTACAAAAGAGTTACACAAACTGTTACTAATTGATCAGATATAAACTGAAGGCGTCAAATTATAAAAGTGATTAATCATGTTAAACCTGTCTAATGCAATTTAACCTTTTTTAATGAGTTATTTTGAAATGATCAGTTCTCAAAGAAAGGCCTCAAATTAGGTCATGTCAAACTAGACTGGGTTAATGTATGGTGCACTGTTAATGGTAGTGTTGGTTAATTATACCCACGTGACTGACAGGACGGACGTCGTAGGCTCCCCACACCGTACCGCGTGATGTCATTAATCACACACGTCCAATCACAGGTAGATTACAGGTAAATTACAGGTATTTAAATTCTATTTCTCGTATTTGTTTGTCATTGACTCTCATTAACATCTGTAAATGATTTGTCACCTGTTCACATCGGGGCTTTGTAAACTGCTAATTAAAACGTTTGAGATTTAATATGATAACTAAATTAATGATAAATCTGCAATGAGGTGTGGAATGTCATCTAGAGAATGACATATGGATGTTCTCAAAATAGACTAACTCGATCTGCGCTGAGGATGGCTAATGCTGATTCGACCTTAGCTTACAACAACATCACTGCGGCGATTTGACGTCACATACATGCTGGAGAGTGCGTAACATACCAGAGGTTGATGGTTATTTTGGTATAGTTGGATTAAAGCCTGGTTATTTTAAAAAGAACATTTTGCTTCTTCACTCGACAGAACTAAGAGGTACAGCATTGCAATTGCTTGATAACACATTGAGGTGAAAGTGTGATAGCGAGCGTACCATACACAACGAAGAGACTAAAGGTATAAACAATACATATCTTTGGTTGATTTGTAATATTGATCGAAACAGCAAATCGATATCGTGTTTGTAATGTCACTTTATTTGTAGCATCACGTTTGCTCCATGCCAGCTGCAGTACTTTTCTTTTTGCGGGTTTCTTACGTCCCATTTTGTTAAATCATAAAAAAATACGATTTCATACCTAATAGAATAGCTGAGGATTTTACTTTGGTAAAATTGTTGTTATGTGGACCTGAAAAGTGATATTGACTTTGTCTTCGTCTCGGTTTATATCGGTTTTTTCAGGTTAATATACATAATAACCACATTTTCACCTCAACAAAAGTCAATGATTGGTATAAAACACCAGTATCCCAAGCGGAAATCGCGTTAGTTCAAAGGTTGGCGTCACCACTATAACTGTGGAGTAAACATATGTTTGTTTCTTTCCAAAAGGCATTTTTTGCGACAAAAATTACAATAAAACACTGTTTATCCTCGTGTTCCCATAACAGTGTTATCCTTAATATCTTTAAATGTATTCCAAAGACATGTTTATCGTGATTCTTTTTGTTTTGTTTCCATGAACATGCCTTTCATCCTACGCAGAATTGCTAATCACCTTTTTCTTTTTTCGCGCAGTCAAAAATGACAACGACAAGAATTATGGCGACATGAATATTAAAGAAACCATTTATCATAGTATTCATCACTACCCTTAATTCACTCGAGCGTGCTCTTCAAATTAGGCCATGCACGTGATTGAAACATATTTCAAGTGCATGCACATCCGAAATGTAATTACGAGCAGTCCTAGTTAAGTGTTATGAATGAAACAACGCGCACGTGTAACGACCATTAATTACCCATGTGCAGATTATACCCTGATATTAATACAGACCCGTATAACATTAAGCTGGATTATTTCTGTTCCGATCGCGACACATGTAGATATCAGAAGTTGACTGGTGTGTGTGGAATGGAGACGAGTGGACTTGGATGATTGGAAGGCGACAAGTTGACAGGTGGGCGAGTGTGCTGATAAACGAGTTTATTGGTGGGCGAAATGACTGTCATTTAGGGGGCGAGTGAACTGGATGGCGAATGTACAGGGAGCGAGTGAACTTGAGAGTGAGTGTATTGAAGGGTGAGTGAACTGGAGGCTGAGTGTACTCTAGGCCGAGTTGATTGGAAGGCGAGAAGAATACTGGGCAAGTTGACTTGTAGGCATGTGAACTGTTGTGGAGTGGATTGGTGTGCAAGTGGATTGGTGTGCAAGTGGATTGGTGGGCAAATGAACTGAAGGGCGAGTGTACTGGTGTGCGAGTGGACTGGTGTGCGAGTGTACTGGTGTGCGAGTGGACTAGAGGGCGAGTGGACTGGTGTGCTGGTGGACTGGAGGGCGAATGGACTGGTGTGCGAGTGGACTGGAGGGAGAGTGGACTGGTGTGCGAGTGGACTAGAGGGCGAGTGGACTGGTGTGCTGGTGGACTGGAGGGCGAATGGACTGGTGTGCGAGTGGACTGGAGGGCGAGTGGACTGGTGTGCTGGTGGGCGAGTGGATTGGTAGGCAAATGTACTGACAGGCAAGTAGACAGTTCCGAGAGTTTTAGTGGATGATTTGCCTGGTGGGCGAACCGAGGGGCGACTTGAATTTTAGGCAAATACTAAATGTAACAGCCAAGTTGAATGGTTGGCAGGTTACTTTGTTTTGTGTGGGGTTTAACGTCCTCGCAACAATCTGGGTTTTATAAGGAGGGTGCCTTGGGAGAGACCACTGGTAATAGAAAGTAGATAGAAACGATTTTTTACAAGAATTACAGGAAATAAAAGCTGATTGACAAGATGACAGGCTACCTGACTGCAAGACGAGAAGACTGAATGAAGGGCAGGCTGATTGCCTGGCGATTTGACAGGAGTGCATGTTGGCTGGCGAGCAAGTTAAATGTTTGACAGAGTAGTAATGGACTTTAAATGTTCTGCAATTTAACAGTGATCCACAATGTGACAACTAACAGTGATCCACAGGGTAACAATTACCAGTGTTCCACAGATAACAACCAACAGTCTTCCACAGGGTAACAGCTAAAAGTGTTCTACCAGGTGACAACTAACGGTATCCACAGGGTTGCAGCTAACAGTGTTCGGCTAGGTTACAACTAATAGTGTTTCACAGAGTAACAACTAACGGTGTCCCACAGGGTAACAACTGACGGTGTCCCACAGGGTAACATCTAACAGTGTCCCACAGGGTAACAGCTAAAGGTGTCCCACAGGGTAACAACTAACGGTGTCCCACAGGGTAACAACTAACGGTGTCCAACATGGTAACAACTAACGGTGTCCCAAAGGGTAACAACTAACGGTGTCCCACATAGGGTGTCCAACATGGTAACAACTAACGGTGTCCTACAGAGTAACAACTAACGGTGTCCCACAGGGTAACAACTGACGGTTTCCCACAAGGTAACAACTAACGGTGTCCTACAGAGTAACAACTAACGGTGTCCCACAGTGTAACAACTAACGGTGTCCCACAGGGTAACAACTGACGGTTTCCCACAAGCTAACAACTAACGGTGTCCCACAGGGTAACAACTGACGGTTTCCCACAAGCTAACAACTAACGGTGTCCCACAGGGTAACAACTAACGGTGTCCCACAGATTAACAACTAACGATGTCCTACAGGGTAACGACTGACATGTTCTGCATGTTAACAAGATCTAACAGTGTGTTCGAGGGCAGCAACTTATAATGTTCTACAAGGTAGCCACTGGCAGCAACTAACAATGTTCTACAAGGTAACCGCTGGCAGTAACTTACAATGTTCTTCAAGGTAACCACTGGCAGCAACTTACAATGTTCTACAAGGTAACCACTGGCAGCAACTTACGATGTTCTACCAGGTAACCACTGGCAGCAACTTACAATGTTCTACAAGGTAACCGCTGGCAGCAACTTTCAATGTTCTACAAGGTAACCACTGGCCGAGTTTGTCGGGAAAACCACTACCAGTTAATGTTTCACCGGGTAACAACCTGAAGGTAGGGTTATACAAGATAATAACTTACAATTTATGCTTCAGAGGGTGACAAATCATAGTTATTGTTGCAAAGGGTATAACAAGCAGCGCATCGGATAGTTTTACCTACATGCACGCGACATAGCGAGCTTTTGAAGTCAATATGCGGGAGTGGCAATGGAAGGGAATTGCTAGGTTTTCCCCTGACGTAAGTCAATTTGAGCTTTAAGCTGCATTTCGTCGCAGATTTGTGGTCGTGTGTTGTAGATGTCGCCTTTAGACGATCTGTTATACTTGTTTTGAATTCAAACGGCTATCACGTTTTTGTAGCAATTTTAGATGTAATTTCTTGATCAACGTATAGAAATGATTTTATATTAAATGACTCAAACGTCGACTATATTTATCTATAATATGATTAAACCAGATCAGCTTTCTCTGATGTTCCTCCATATTTCTAAGATTGTATATTACGAGTTTCAAAGTATCTACTCGAGACAGATGTACGACACTATATTTCCCAAGGATTTCAGCTACAGATGATTCATACTGCCAAGGTCTCTCCGCAATACAGTAATTACAAAACTAAAATTCAAGTTTTTTTGGTTAAGTGTAAATGTATATCCCTAGAAATAGGATTTATTTGAAATTTATCACAATATATTTTACACTACGCGTAGAAATTAAGAGGGTAGCTCAATAGTTTACGGTGTAGCGTGGTGACATTTTAAGAGAGGTATCATGAATATGGTGGGCAATTACTCGCATCATACCAGTTTTTTACGTCCAATATCGATTTCTAGGCTTCCGTGTAGATATAGAAAGTGATAATAAGAAAACGACGTGTGTGCCTAATTTTGTCGTTAACCAGGAGATGATTGATAACGTTGCAAATGTTGGCAATCATTCGGATATTACTTGTTAACCTTAATTCTATTCTCCTTAAAGAAATTTAAACTGACTTATTTATATATCTTAAAAAAACGAAACAAAACATTGCTTTACTTCCTCAGATTATACGGTAACCTGTCACGGTCCTTAGGCCACGAGTCTTCCATTAGAGGGGCAGAGCATAATATATGAAAAAAATGTGCCATTTAAATATTATTCAGGCTCTTGCTTTGTAATACAGCATACTTCAGCTGTTGAAAAACACACAATCGGAGTTATTAACAAAGAGGACTGACCGAAAGACTGACCAAAGGACTGACCAGGAATTCTGACCAAGAGGACTGACTGAAGGATGACCAAAGGACTAACCAGGAAGTCTGATCAGGAGTACTAACCAAGAGGACTGACCAAAAGACTGACCAGGAGATCTGGCCAAGAGGACTGACCGAAAGGCTGACCAAAGGACTGGTCAGGAGTACTGACCAGGAGTACTAACCAATAGGACTGACCGAAGGACTGACCAGGAGATCTGACCAAGAGGACTGACTGAAGGATGACCAAAGGACTGACCAGGAAGTCTGATCAGGAGTACTAACCAAGAGGACTGACCAAAAGACTGACCAGGAGTACCAACAAAGAGGACTGACCAGGAGTACTAACCAAGAGGAATGACCAGGAGTACTAACAAAGAGGACTGACCGAAGGACTAACCGGGAGTACTGACCAAGAGGAATGACCGAAGGACTGGCCAGCTAGTTTGACAATGAGTAGGGATCAGGAAATCTGACCAAGAGGACTGACCGAAACACCGACCAAATGACTGACCAGGAGATCTGACCAAGAGGACTGACCGAAAGGCTGACCAAAGGACTGGTCAGGAGTACTGACCAGGAGTACTAACCAATAGGACTGACCGAAGGACTGACCCGGAAGTCTGACCAAGAGGACTGACCGAAAGACTGACCAAGAGTACTAACCAAGAGGACTGACCGAAAGACTGACCAGGAAGTCTGACCAACAGGACTGATCAAATGACTGACCAAGAGTTCTAACCAAGAGGACTGATCGAAGGACTGACCAAGAGGACTGACCAAGAGGAATGACCGAAGGACTGACCAGGAAGTCTGACCAACAGGACTGATCAAAAGACTGACCAAGAGTTCTAACCAAGAGGACTGATCGAAGGACTGACCAAGAGGACTGACCAAGAGGAATGACCGAAGGACTGACCAGGAAGTCTGACCAGCAGTTCTGACCAAGAAGACTGATCGAAGGACTAATCGGGAGTACTGACCAAGAGGAATGACTGAAGGACTGGCCAGAACGTTTGACAATGAGTAGGGATCAAAAGGACTGAATCTTTGAAATGGACCGAAATATGGTGGTTTAGCATAGCCTTGGTCAACATCATAATCATTACTGCTGCTACAATTGAACTCAAAAACAATGTTCAATCACGTATTTACTCTGGAGAGCCCTAATTCATTACATCAGTCGGGTTACACTACTCCGGAACAAAGCCGTATCGTCGTTCCCGGAAAGTACCGAGTTGCTGGTATAATAGCCATCTCTCGCTCTCGTCACCGTTCTCCGGGAAAATCTGGTGACCCCATTTATCAGGCCTTATAACCGAGTGTTTAGGATGTAAATGTCTGCATAAGGAAGTATTTCTTTGAGAAAAAGAAATTCGAATGAAACCGAGTTATCCCTAAAGAGGCTGGTTTAAGCTGACAGATGTAATGTGTTTAGTGAAACTCTACCGAGGACCAGGGGATATAAAGGAAAGAGATATTAGTGTCGGCCAGTCTATACGCGACTATTCTCATTTCACATACGAGCCTTGACTGTGTCATTTGTCAAGCATCGCCATTTACAATGGCAGCATGCAGTTAACAGATAAACAAATTAATAACTTTACTGATAACTTGAATACCCGAACTCGTATATAATACTCCTGTGTTCAACAGTTTATTAGGAATACCAGGGTTTTGTACTATTTGATAAGACTGTACAAGGTAAAATGCCACTTTACCAGATAACGGAATTGTGTACCAGGTAATAGGTACTGTACAAGTGTACATGAAATATAATAGTGTATTGGGTAATGTAATATGACTTTGTACCAGAGCATATGTCTGAGTGCGAGGTAATATGTCGTTGTACCAAGTAATTTGTCTGTGTACCAGGAAATTATATGACATATGAATTTGCATTTGATAGGTAATAGGACTTTGTACCCGTATTAAGTCTACGAAATTTACCAATTTTATAATACAGCCTATAGTCTCTGAAATAACACACAGTCCGTAAAACCTCCTAATTCTATTAAATACAAGACAATCTTTTACCAAAATGAAGTCTAACAAGTACACCTATTCTTTAACACATCCTACAGTATCTGAAGTGCCACACAGTTTCTTTCCCGGCCTACAGTCTTTGAAGTACTAGACAAACTGCACACCCTACAGTCTATGAAATGCCACAGATTCTGTAAGACGCTTATAAGAACAGTCTGTAAAACCGCCTTCACGTTTTGTAACACTTCTACGTAGTTCCTAAAGTATCACACAATCTATGGAACTGCCTATAGTCTTTGAAGTACCACACAATCTGTAGACTCTCCTAAAAACGTAAATAGTCAATTTATTGTCGCACAGTCTGTAAAACTGCATTCAATCTATGTAGAAAAACACAACCTGCAAAAACTGTATCCTATAGTCTATGAAGTACCACATAGTCTGTAGACCTCGCTTTAGTCCAAGTCATACCCCGCGAACTATAGACCTCCACCTACAGTCCATTGCGTACCGCACGACCCCCTTCTGGTGACGTCTTTTTCCGAGACACGGATGAGGAATGAAACTCCAAGAGTCTTTGAATAATTGACATTTAAACGTCTGGTATGGGCCTCCAAAAGTTTCAAATTGCCTATGGCCTCTACAGGTCAGGTTTGTGCATAGAATTGGGGCTTATATTGGTCGTATGATTGTATTGAGACTGAGAGAGTGGCGCTCTAGGACAATCACGGCACACGACCACAACAGCATCGGGAGTTCATCAATCTGGACATCTACAGGGAGAGGGAGAGAGGGTGGATGATAAACAGCGGGAAGCATGTAAGGTGCCACGGCGGCCATCTCTTATATATACCTAGTCCTACAGCCATATCGTCTGTTCCAGAATAAGTGTTATGTACATAGTGTAAGTAGTCTCACATCTACTACTGTCTGTTCCATAAAAGTTTGACATATATCACACAAATATTGTGTATCAATACTATATATTATCCTACAGCAACTCTCTCCCCACAATGAAATTGTACTTAAGATATATATATATGTATATATATATATATATACATGTACAATAATGAGATCAACTAACTACAAAAATAATAGATATATCAAACATGTATCTCAGAAGCTGAATTTCTCTTGATGATAGTAAAGTGAAAACTGCTTGATTGAGACTAAATAATTACAATCAAAGGTTCAACATTGACAAATATGAATAACATATTTAAACCAATTAATCAGAGAAATAACCTCTCCTTATGAATTAGGAATAACAAGACAGTATTTCATCGGAAACAATTACATTTGTATCTGTATGTTTGTCAGAAAGCAAACGAACGATAATTATTTGAATAGCTAACAAATGAACATTGCTTGACATACCTAGTTTGACATGAATATCGTGACACACGGACTGAAGAACGGCTAAAATGTCATGACTCACAGTTCAGTGGTTAAGACAGATGTCATCACTACACGTGAACGCACCAGTGTATCGTAACCATATAGATTTGCATGTGCATCTGCTGTGCACGTTGTTCGCAGTGCTCACATGGTCGTTGGTTATCCTCTACGACCCATGGCTTTAGTGTGCCACTAAAACGTTTTCTGTGTCGTTCACTGTCTACAAGGAAGAGGTGACTAGGAGATGCAAACAATTCAAATACGTTATATCTCATTTCATTTAAAGTAAGTCTTTGATGTTCGGCAGGTATATTTTACAAAAGGACTCCTCGGCATCCTTCTTTGTCATCTTAAAATGATTATATGTTCAATATTGTCCATTATATCTGCATGTATCGGAAATACATTCAAGATCGATCAAATGCAGTGTCCGCTGATTGTGGCACATCTGTTGATGCATGGTAAGTTAGGACATTCTGACAGAGAATGAAACCTCAATCACTGAGGTGCGCAACAATGATCCAAAAGAGCAACAAGGATTGAACACACTGTCT